GGGCCCCTGCCACCCAGGCCGGGGGAGGAGTGGGCTTTCGAGAGGCCCTGCTGGTTCACCTTGTCTGTTTCTTTCCAGATACAATGAGGTCAAGAAGAAAATGGATCCCGGCTTCCCCAAGCTCATCGCAGACGCCTGGAACGCCATCCCCGACAACCTGGATGCCGTTGTGGACCTGCAGGGCAGTGGTGAGCCACCCGGGCCTCTGTCCGCTTTCTAGGACTCCCCACCCCTAGCCAGGGCCCAGCGCCTCGCAAGCACACACTCCCTCATTGTGCCTGGCAGGCATGCGGCGCCGGGAAAACAAACCAGCCCCTTCAGCCCTGGGCTGGGACGGCATCCAGACCCCTGACCTCTGCTCCCTCGGCCTGGCTCCAGGAAGTAAGGCCCAGAAAGGCTCCTCACAGCTGCAGGGCCCGGAGCCAGGGCCGGAGAGGGCGGGAGGCCTGGAGCGGGGAGGGAAGGAGGGACACGGGCTCCTTGCCCTGGATTCATTCTGGGGTTTGGTCCAGGCCCTTTTTCGTCCTGCAGGAGGCCTCGTTTGTGGCCGCCTCCCATTAGCAGAAGGATGGCTCCGTTTGAGACAAGGCAAACTTTGTCACGCTCTGTCGCTCATGCGGCAGAGATGCCCGCTCAGCCCGGTTTGCCCTGGTTCCTTGCTGAATAAAACACCAGCATCGGCAAGGGACAGGATTTGGAGCTGGAAAACAGTATTCCTGGGGAGGCTTCTATGAACTCTCCAGGGCTCTAGAAATGAGTCCAATTTGGCTTTTTAGAGATTTCAATTAAACTCCACAGAGTTTTTTTTTGACTGCCTGTTGTATGCTGAGCACAGAGCCTGGACCTCCAGTGGCTAACAGTCTTACACGTGCAAAAAAAGGCAGTGCCCAATCAGGTGCTAGATTAAGGATCATCTTCAACAGTAAACATCTATTAAGCACCTATTATGTGCTGGGTATTTTTTTAAAAAGTCAATGAGATCATGTGTATCAGGAGCCACAAATTCTAAATTCTCTAGGGGCCAGGCAGGTAGCACAAATGAATGAAACGGGCAGTGGCAGACAATAGGGAAGGGAGGGGTCTGTGGTGGACCAGAGGGCACATGGCTCATTTACAGGGGCCAGGTGCTTCTCAGTTTCTGCTGATTACTGGCCCGAAAGAAGGAGGGTGCTGTGTTGTTAAATATTCTAGTTGTTTTTAAAAGGAGCCAGAAATCTGTATTTTCATGTGACTTTTCCAGACGTTTACATGGTGGCAACTTATTCAGATTTAAAGACAAACAAAACAAAACAAAACAACTTGTGTGAGCCAAGTAAAACCCATCTGTGGGCTTCATAGGGCTGTTTTGCCACCTCTGATATATAGAAAGTACTTAGTTTGGTGCTTGTGCTAACTGGGGGTGGGGGGGATTATTATTATTATTAACAGCATGTATTATCTAATTTAATCCTCACCACAAACCCTAAGAGTTTGGTGTCTTTATCCTCATCTTAGAGGTGAGCTAACAGGGACTAAGAGAGCTTATTTCCACAGCATTTCTCTCCTCCAGTCCCAGAGAGGTCTCTTTTTGTCTAATACATGGACTGTCACACTAGAAAAAAAATTTTTTCCCTGGGACCACGGTGTTTTATTAAAACAAAACAATCCTTTCTAATTTATTATTTTTATTGTTTTCTGTGCATGAGTTATATGCAGTGCAATCCACGTTTTTAGAATTAAATTGCCAATATTAATGGTAACAATAAGAACATCAACAAGTATTAATAAGATTTTCACAAACCAACTGCAGGGTTTTGCTTCACACGGCCCCGGGCTCAAAACTAGCCTGAGTTACATACAACTCACATGGCAGTCAGTGTGTTAAAAGCTTCTCCCTTATGCCATGCAGACATTCAAAGCTCCTA